CCCCGTTGCGGAGCACAGGCTCCGGACGCGCAGGCTCAGCGGCCATGGCTCACGGGCCCAGCCGCTCCGTGGCACGGGGGATCTTCCCGGACCTGGGCACGAACCCGTGTCCCCTGCATCGGCAGGCTGACTCTCAACCACTGCGCCACCAGGGAAGCCCTTAAGTATATTTTTAAAAAATATTTATTTCGCTAAATTAGGTCTTAGTTGCAGCACGCGAGATCCTTGGGGCATGCAGGCTCTTCGTTGCAGTGCACGGGCTTCTCTCTAGTTATGGCACGTGGGCTCTAGAGCACAGGGGCTCAGTAGTTGTGATGCACAGGCTCTCTAGTTGTGGTGCAAAGGCTCCAGAGTGTGCGGGCTCAGTAGTTGCGGCATGCAGGCTTAGTTGCCCTGTGGCATGTGGGATCCTAGTTCCCCGACCAGGAGTGGAACCTGCGTCCTCTGCACTGGAAGGTGGATTCTTAACCACTGGACCCCAGGGAAGTCCCTAATTTTAAGTATTTTTACAATTTTTTTCATCACTGACTGAAGGTACAAGACATCAAGAAATTAATAAACTCTCCATGAAATCACTGTTACTAGGAATAATAGCCTGATCTTTTATTTTAATATAAATTTATTTTATTTTTGGCTGCATTGGGTCTTCATTGTTGTGCATGGGCTTTCTCTAGTTGCAGAGAGTGGGGCCACTATTCGTTGTGGTGCGCGGACTTCTCATTGAGGTGGCTTCTCTTATTGTGGAGCATGGGCTCTAGGCGCGTGGGCTTCAGTAGTTGTGGCATGTGGGCTTCAGTAGTTGTGGCTCGTGGGCTCTAGAGTGCAGGCTCAGTAGGTGTGGTGCACGGGCCCAGTCGCTCGGTGGCATGTGCAATCTTCCCAGGCCAGGGCTCAAACCCCCGTCCCCTGCATTGGCAGGCAGATTTTTAACCACTGCACCAACAGGGAAGCCCTAATAGCTTAATTTTTTTTTTTAACATCTTTATAGCTTAATCTTAAGAGTGAAATATTTACAGTTTCTCAGGTATGACAGATCTTCATTAATGAAAGTTCACTCTTTCTGTATCAAAGAGCAACAGGAACTTGACCAAGTAAATGTGCCTATAAAGGATAACTAATTTCTTTTTCTTTTTTAATTCTAATTAATTTTTTTATTGGAGTATAGTTGATTTACAACACTGTGTTAGTTTCTGCTGTACAGCAAAGTGAGTCAGTTATACATATACATATATCCACTCTTTTCTATACTCTATTCCCATATAGGTCATCACAGAGTATTGAATAGAGTTCCCTGTGATATTCAGTAGGTTCTTATTAGAGAAAATGATCTTTTTTTTTTTTTTTTCCGGTACGCAGGCCAGAAACTCCTTTGAATTTTACAAATTTTCTTCCTCCTTAGATTGTATTGATGTGGGGTATTCTGTAAGCAATATGGCTCTCTTTTCAGAAAATGTCTAATTTTTTTTTTAAACATCTTTATTGGAGTATAACTGCTTTACAATGGTGTGTTAGTTTCTGCTGTATAACAAAGTGAATCAGCTATACGTAAACATATATCCCCATATACCCTCCCTCTTGCCTCTCCTTCCCATCCTCCCTATCCCACCTCTCTAGGTGGTCACAAAGCTCTGAGCTGATCTTCCTGTGCTATGTGACTACTTCCCACTAGCTATCTAATCTATTTTACATTTGGTAGTGAATATATGTCCATCCACTCTCTCACTTTGTCACAGCTTACCCTTCCCTGCTCCATATCCTCAAGTCCATTCTCTAGTAGGTCTGTGTCTTTATTCCCATCTTGCCCTTAGGTTCTTCACAATCTTTTTTTTCCTTCTTAGATTCCATATATATGTGTTACCATACAGTATTTGTTTTTCTCTTTCTGACTTACTTCATTCTGTATGACAGACTCTAGGTCCATCCACCTCACTACAAATAACTCAATTTCGTTTCTTTTTAAGGCTGAGTTAATATTCCATTGTATATATGTGCCACATCTTCTTTATCCATTCATCTGCCAATGGACACTTAGGTTGCTTCCATGTCCTGGCTATTGTAAATAGAGCTGCAGTGAACATTTTGGTACATGACTCTTTTTGAATTATGGTTTTCTCAGGGTATATGCCCAGTAGTGGGATTGCTAGGTCGTATGGTAGTTCTATTTTTAGTTTTTTAAGGAACCTCCATACTGTTCTCCATACTGGCTGTATCAATTCACATTCCCACCAACAGAGCAAGAGGGTTCTCTTTTCTCCACACCCTCTCTAGCATTTATTGTTTGTAGATCTTTTGATGATGGCCATTCTGACTGGTGTGAGATGATATCTCATTGTAGTTTTGATTTGCATTTCTCTAATGATTAATGATGTTGAGAATTCTTTCATGTGTTTGTTGGCAATCTGTAAATCTTCTTTGGAGAAATGTCTATTTAGGTCTTCTGCCCATTTTTGGATTGGGTTGTTTGTTTTTTGGATATTGAGCTGCATGAGCTGCTTGTAAATTTTGGAGATTAATCCTTTGTCAGTTGCTTCATGTGCAAATGTTTTCTCCCATTCTGAGGGATGTCTTTTGGTCTTGTTTATGGTTCCATTTGTTGTGCAAAAGCTTTTAAGTTTTATTAGGTCTCATTTTTTTATTTCCGTTTCTCTAGGAGGTGGGTCAAAAAGGATCTTGCTGTGATTTATGTCACGGAGTGTTCTGCCTATGCTTTCCTCTAAGAGTTTGATAGTGTCTGGCCTTACATTTAGGTCTTTAATCCATTTTGAGTTTTCTTTTTGTAACCAAAAGTATATAATTTCTTTCATTTTATTTTTTTACAATTTCTATATATGTTTAAAATCAAATATACTGGAGAAAACAACCACATCAATTATACATCAAGAAGGCCATATTCAGGAACTAACTCATTATTCCAAAAACTGGTAAGTGAAAAGAAAAAAACAAATGTATATGTTATGTCTCCCTTATGAATTGTTTAAAAAAAAAACTACAAAATTGTACCTACCTCTAGCCAAAAGCAGTCCAACAACTCCAGAAAAACCAATAACACCAAGTCTTGGAAAAAATCCAGGAGGTGCATTTTGGAGATATTCATAGCTGTCTATAATAGAATCAGACCAGGAAACAGTTTTATAAATTGCTCATTAAAAAACAAAACATGTATGTCAACTATACTTCAATTAAAAATAAACATAAAGAACAAAACAAAAAAGTCAAATATAAGTAGCATATGTAGTAGCAAATGCTTTTCAAATAATGTATTCTTTGCTTTCTGTTAATATGCTTCTTCTCAACAAGTTCTTTTTATGTAAGAGATAAAATGATTTACTAGTTACGTCACAAGTATCCAATTTTCAAACACTTTTTAGCCTGATGACATTCTGACAATAAAGTAATGTTAGATTACCTTCATATTCCTGAAGGCAACAGATCTGAATCAATTATTCATAAGGGCAGAAAGACAAATACAGGAATCCCTTGCTATCCAAACACAGAAACAGAATAAATTTGGATAAATATTTGGATAGATCTGTCACTATCTGAAGCTTTGCTGCTTGCTCTCTATAAAATTCAGGAACCAAATACATTAGACTCAGGAAAAAAAATGTATCTTTTGCCATCTGAATTCATTATTTAAACTCAAGATAAGAATAACTCTGGATAATGAAGGAAATTTGTAGTGCAAGTATATGCAGGAAATAGTCACTGATGATAGATAAAATAAATACAAATAAATGCAACATGTGAGTCTACTTGCCACGCCTGACCATGCATTATGACCTCATTCGCATGAGGCCGCCTCTCCTCTCCCCTGAGCCAAATGCCACCAAATAAAAGCTAGCTTAAGTCCTACCTCCTCAGAAAAGCCTTTCCTATACTCATCAGCCCACACCTCTCTTTCTCCTCTGAAGTCCCACCATATTTATTTTCTCTACCGTCATTTGGTGCCTAATTGTACGGCCCTTGTTTTTAATTATTCAGGGTGTATTTTATGTCTCCTCAAAGAGAATATCTGCTCCTTAATGGTGGACTGCTTAGACTTCTATGTCATTTTCCCCCAGTGGTAAATAGTGGATGTTCACTCAACAGATACTTATTTGAAGCCCTGCTAGGAGTTAATGGATACTGAATGAATTAACAAAGGGGTTTCAGCTAGGTCACAACTTGAAAAGCCTGCAGGTCTCTCAACCTCATCTTCAGCACTCCCAATCTGCTTCCAGTTCCCGGCACATGCAACACTAAGTGACCACTCCAAGCCTTGGTCATGCTGTGCCCTCTGTGTGGAATGCCTCCCAATTCTCACCCCCATGTTTTGGTGTGGCTAACTGTTCCTTCAAGACTCATCTCAGAACTCCTTCCCTGACTGCTCCCATCTCCCCAATCTCTGTTAAACTAGTCTCTTTCCTCTGTACCTTCAATGGTGGTCTATGACTGTTTCTGTATTTGTGCTAGTATTGAACACTTTATTATATGCACCTCAGTGGCTGTGACCACTGTCTCAATCAGCCTCTCTCTTCAATGCCTGCCATGATGGTGACTTAACAGACGTACATGGAACCGAATTAACTGGAATACTCAATAATTCTCTCGTCTAGATAATACTAGGCATGTGCCAGTTATCCTTTTCTTGGCTTCTTTGGGAAATGTGGTGATCATTTTAAATACTACTATAGGGCTTGTGCTCTTTGCACCAATTCCTGTTGGCCTTTTACTTATTTTGCCTTTAACCTGGTTTTAACTTTTCATCCTCTCGTCTGGATCATTTGAGGCAATTTTCTGCTTCCCTTTATTTTTGCCTACCAGCATGGTATTTTCAATTCTAGACAGGCACACAGAGCAGGTGATAGAAGGACACCCAGATGCCTTGGTGAGCTCAGCCAAAGTGGGAAAATCACAAAGAAATGGGAAAGAAGATATGCTGTAAGACTACAATAAATATGAAGCCCAGCTTCTAGCAACATGTCTTGGCTATGACTCCTGGGAAATGGACTGGTTGCCTTGGCAGACAACAATGCAACTCATAATGGAACGTTTCTTCCTAAGTCTTTGCAGTAACTATGAGTCCAGGAGAAGAAAAACAAGACTCATACTGCAAATACTGCCTACTGCTGTGAATCAATGGGAAATGATAGGCGACAATGAAGAGACACCTCAGTCACACATATAGATAAAAGATCAGGAGTTCTTTAGCTTCCTCAGGTAAAAAATGAAGGTAGCAGAGTACCTAACTGCCAAGGTTGTTATGAGGATTGTACATAAATTAATACTTTCAAAGCACTTAGACTAGTTCCTGACACCTAATAAGCACTAAATAAGTGTTTATAAAATTAATATATTAACATACATGAATAATTTTAAAAAGTGGTAAGCTACTAATATGCCTGTCTTCAAATGAAGAATTTACTTATATAGTAGTCTCAGGGGTATCAGTGTATCAATACTATGATAATCTTCACTAAGAAATAAATGGTACTCATGCTTATTTTATTGTCACGGAAACACTTGTAAAAACAAGAGGATGACTGGCTGAGATGTCCAATAAAAGGAATGAAATATGATCAATGTCTATTAATTTATCAGTTCCTGATATTAGTTAGAACATAGACTGTGAAACCAGTTTATGAGTGTATGTGTTAAGTGAATGTGAAAAACAATCAAAGGCGATAAAAAACAAATGAAAACATGTAAGAACACTACAAATTATGCAATAAAGCCTTTCCTAGGCACACCAGCCCAGTTCCTTCCTGCCTCTAAACTTCTGTAACATGTATTAATAGCTGTGCCAATGAGCTATCCTGATTCTGAAAACCTATAGACGAGTTAGGACATTGCACCTGGAGATAGATTTAAAGAAAGAAAATCCAGTGTATCTGCATCTGCTAGGCCAACAATCCTAATGATCTTGAAGAGACTTACCTGAGTGTTTGGGGACACTAGTTCTCTGAAATCTGATGAAAAAAATAGATCCTCTTTCCAGAAAAATCCAAATAGCTCTAAAATTCTACATACAATTTTAAGGAATTCACAGATCTCCTGGAGCCCATCCATGGGCTCTCAGTTAAAGAATCCAACGTCAAAAAACAAAAAAAAGAATCCAATGTCAAACAAACTGATTATGCCTAATTAAAAATCGACTTACCTAACCCCCACTGAACCAAACTTTGCATCTTGGGCTTAGTTTGGGAGTACATTTCCTAAAAAGGTGAGGGAAAAAAAAGAATCAATAGGATTTGCTGATTAGAAAGTAGCAATAAATATATTTGTCTTTACTGAATAAATTATCATGTTATTAGCACTTTTTGAACAAAGGGATATACTCTCTACCTGGGTTTTTTGTGTTGTTTTTCCTTTTCTAATTTCCCCTTCACCATAAATTGCTCAGCAGAATGGCTTATTATTGCCACAGGAAGCAAACATTTCAAGTAGAGTGGTTTCAACAACCCAGCCTTTTCGTTCTTCTATTGAAATTGAAGAGGACGAAAAAAAATCAATCCCCTTGATAATTAAAGTGGATATTCTTTCCCTGTGAGATTAAAGCATTCATATTAAGTCTATTTCCTGATTTGCCATGATTTTAGAGCCTATATCTGAAAACTGCCCATTTGAAGCAGGAAGAGGAATGACCAGCTTTAATGGGACAAAGGAGTCTACATCCAGGTTTGGAGAAACATTTACCCCAATTGAGCAAATGAAGTAATAACATTCTCTTAACCACAACAGTAAAAAGGCTTTGAACGTGAACATCAGATGATCCTAAAGAAAGCAAGGGACTACTTCAAAAAGTGTACAGTAAAGATGGGAAAAGAGATATGTGGGTATCAGAAGATATCAGAACCTGTTGCCACTTGGAAAATGATTTATTTTAATTCAGTTCAAGTCAGAGCAAGTTACCCTAATACTGTTAAATGGCCTTAAATAATAAGTGCTGAATTTGGGGGAGGACATAAAGAACATTTAAAAAACCTGAGTACTGCTTCATTAAAATCCATTATTAGTTTTTTTCTGCACATGAAAAGAGAAAAACTACAGATCAATGTCTAGACTGACTGTCCACTTCTTTTGCTAGCATAATCTGTTTACTATGAAGAAAAATTAAATCAGTTCTTGAATGGACTAGAACTTGTAGGCCTGAAAATGGAGCCAGGAATGAGAAAAATTTTCATTCATGAAGACTTCAATCTATAGGAAAATAAAACCAGTGTAATCACACAAAAAAGCTTTTTTTACATATAACTAGTACAAATAAACATGTTGATAACTATTCTGAGGGGTTTTGATGCACTAAGCATCATGCACAGATGAAAATGTAAAAACCAAAAAGCAACCCTGGGTTGAAAGGTAGAGACAAAGTACTTATATAACCACAAAAGAAAAAGAGCAAGAGAGAAATAACAGTAGTCATGCCTACATGATACAGAAATATTTGCAAATGTGCTGACCTTATCTTAACCACTGGCAGATGGTTTAAAAATCTTCTAGTCCATTCTCTACGTCTGCCGCTTTATTCCTATCCTGCCCCTAGGTTCTTCAGAACCTTTTTTTTTTTAATATTCCATATATATGTGTTAGCATACAGTATTTGTTTTTCTCTTTCTGACTTACTTCACTCTGTATGACAGACTCTAGGACCATCCACTACAAATAACTCAATTTCGTTTCTTTTTATGGCTGAGTAATATTCCATTGTATATATGTGCCACACCTTCTTTATCCATTCATCTGTTGATGGACACTTAGGTTGCTTCCATGTCCTGGCTATTGTAAATAGAGCTGCAATGAACATTTTGGTATATGACTCTTCTTGAATTATGGTTTTCTCAGGGTATATGGTCAGGAGTGGGATTGCTGGGATGTATGGTAGTTCTATTTTCAGGGTTTTTTTTTTTTTTTTTTTTTTTTTTGCAGTACGTGGGCCTCTCACTGTTGTGGCCTCTCCCGTTGTGGTGCACAGGCTCCGGATGCGCAGGTCCAGCGGCCATGGCTCACAGGCCCAGCTGCTCCGCGGCATGTGGGATCTTCCTGAACCGGGGCACGAACCTGTGTCCCCTGCATCGGCAGGCGGACTCCCAACCACTGCGCCACCAGGGAAGCCCCTATTTTCAGTTTTTTAAGGAACCTCCATACTGTTCTCCATAGTGGCTTAAGGACACGGGGAGGGGGAAGGGTAAGCTGGGACAAAGTGAGAGAGTGGCATGGACATATATATACTACCAAATGTAAAATAGATAGCTAGTGGGAAGCAGCTGCATAGCACAGGGAGATCACCTCGGTGCTTTGTGACCACCTAGAGGGGTGGGATAGGGAGGGAGGGAGAGGCAAGAGGGAAGAGTTATGGGGATATCTGTATATGTATAGCTGATTCACTTTGTTATAAAGCAGAAACTAACACACAGTTGTAAAGCAAGTATACTCCAATAAAGATGTTAAAATTAAAAAATCTTCTAGAACAAGAGAATAAAGTTTAAGTGTGTTACAACACATTATGTACAAAGTCTTTAGGTATTTCATAACTCAATAATATGGTTACGGTACTTTAGTATAATGGCCTAATTTATGCTATTTTCTTTCTAAATTGGTGAACAAAAGTTCAGCATTGGCACAGACAGTGGAAATGAAAAATTCTAAAACAAGTTCTGGATGAAAATTGAGTTTATCATCTCAAGCAAAGTAAATCTAGACCACGTCACACACATCTACATTCTTTTACTTTGTCATCAGTTTTCAAAATCAAGATCAAGTGTGGCAAATATACATATCAAAGCCCACGAAAACATTCTGTAAATTTTGGTTTCCTATGTTAAAAATTGCACACATGCTTTCATGAACATAATGACAAATGCCTGATTTAAAACCTGAGCAGTAAAAGTCAATCTGTATATGCAGATCTTTGGTCACTAAGGGAAACAGTTAAGTACTCAAGTATGTAATTCCACCATCTTTTAGTTATCTACCCTCCTATTATAGCATTCAAAATCCTCTGTACCCATTCCTGTTTAAAGTGGTACTGGGATTTCCCTGGTGGCACACTTGTTAAGAATCTGCCTGCCAATGCAGGGGACACGGGTTTGAGCCCTGGTCCAGGAGGATCCCACATGCCACAGGGCAACTAAGGCCGTATGCCGCAACTACTAAGCCTGTGGTCTAGAGCCCGTGAGCCACAACTACTGAGCCCGCGTGCTACAGCTACTGAAGCTCGTGCGCCTAGATCCCGTGCTCCGCAACAAGAGAAGCCACCTCAATGAGAAGCCTGCGCACCACAATGAAGAGTAGCCCCGGCTCGCTGCAACTAGAGAAAGCCAGCATGCAGCAACAAAGACCCAACACAGCCAATAATAAATAATTAATTAATTAAAAAATGAAATAAAATAAAGTGGTACTGACTTGTAGAATCTCTGTGGGGAGAGAAACTTCCTAATTTTGATATAAATGTTTACATAGTTCCAGCCCCATATCCTCCCCTGGTGGACAATAATGTTTTCATAGCCGCAACCAACAAGATAGGCACCGTGGGGGAATTCCCCGGTGGTCCAGTAGTTAGGACTCGGCGCTTTCACTGCCGTGGCCCTGGTTCAAGTCCTGGTCGGGGAACTAAGATCCCACAAGCCGAACGGCCTGGCCAAAAAAAAAAGATAGGTACCATGGGCCTCTGCTCTCTAGTCAACATGATACAGGCTGCCCAGTGGGAGGGAAACTCTGCAGCTATGGCAACAGCTGCCACCAGGAAGCTAGGGCTCTCTGCTCCCCTCCAGAGATGGCACTGACGAACATTTTTAAGTCAGGCACTCTTAAGTTGGGGCCCTTTATTGTGCCTTTTTCTGAAAACACGCAGCCAGTACAGACTTTTTACTACTGACTCTAAACAGAAATGCATTCATTCCATTTTCAGAACAGCTGTCTGTACCTGACACCAACTTGTATATGGTTCGCAATAATGTCGGAGATGGGAGATGCTTTCTTCAAGTTGGGTCCTTGGCTCTTCCACATATTTAGACTGACCCTCAGGAACAGAGTAGAGTGAAAGCTGCAAAGATTGAAAAACAAAATAAAAAGAAATTAAGAAGTGTATACAGTAATGAAATAACAATCAATTATTAAATTTGTAATAATTCACAAACTACAGTGAATAAGGGTTATGTGCACCCTGAACCTTGCTTCAGACGATCTTTGCACCTTAATCAATAAGGACAAGGCCAAGAGAGCAGGGCTATGAGGTGTCCTAGCCTCCCCCAACCCTACTCATAGCAGACAAAGCAGTCCCCTTTTACCCATTTTATATATTAGTATTTGTTATTTCATCTTAGATTTAGTTTGGACAAAGGATTCTATTACTCTAAATGGTGGGTCGGAGGTGGGATAGGAAAAAAAAGCTTGAGGATAACTGAATAGCATATGACTTAGTTCTAGTGATCAGTCTAGTGCTAATCAAAGCAGAATAGCAGGTTTGTTCCCCACCAGAGAGGAAACATTTCACAGCCACCACTGGCTGCCTTCTTCACCCTCAAAAATGCCACTGTCCCAAGGCCTGAGAAGAAGAGAGTAAAGGGCAAAAAAACAAGCTATTTAGCTTTAGGTAAACACCATTCAAGTAACCCTGACCATAACTGAAGGGAGATCTTTATGACACTTTACTCAAAGTCAAAAGAAACCAAATATCTAAAATAATCAGTGGGAAGTATAGACAAAAAGGAATGTAAACAATGGAGAGATGATTTCCTGTTTTATTTATTTAGTATTTATTAAGCATCTACTTATGAGCCTCTAATCCAGCCAAAAAGCAGGATGAACCCTGGTCTTTAGTTTCTTAGGAAAGGGAAAAATGTGAATGTTTTCCTGGCTTGATAAGCAGTCTGGAAGCAGGCAGATCACTTAGAAGTGACTTGTGCTTACAATCTACTGGGACAGAGCAGATTCCCCACTAAAAATCTAGGAAAAATTCCTTAATTACGCCCTTAGCTAAGTACCATTAATTAAAGTTGAAAAAGCCATAGTCTAGCAGCTTCCCACAAGGAAGCACTATTTCCTCCTTTTAAATATCTTCTGAATTGTCCTATCTTCCTGATATTCAATTTGTATGCTTCCCATAGTAACTAAATCACATATTCAAAATATATCACATGTTACCTCATTAACCTTCACAGCAGCTTTGTGAGATGAGTCCTTTTTTGCTGATGCATAGACTTTGAAGGTGAGCAGGCTCAGGCTGGTCGGCCCCACAGACCTCTGAATTACCTGAAACACAGAAACAATCTTAAGCCTTCTCTCAGTTCTACAAACTGAAGGTACATAACGTGGGCACATTTGCAACCTCAGCCACTCCTGCCCTGAGAGGCTTATTGCGTGTTATGAGAAATGTATTCCCGAAGTTTTATGGAAGTCAGAAACTAAAAAACATGTTCTCGTGGACTTAAAATTCCAGGTCACCTTTATCTTCATTTCCAAAACAGTAGTTTCTAAGTTTTCTACTTAGCCTTTCAAGGAAAACAAAAGATAACACCTCCCCTCCCCTCCCCAATAACAACAGGGGAAGGAGCTTTCTTTTTTTGGCTGCATTGGGTCTTCATTGCCATGCACGGGCTTTCTCTAGTTGCAGCGAGCGGGGGCTACTCTTGGTTGTGGTGCGCGGGCTACTCATTGCGGTGGCTTCTCTTGTTGTGGAGCATGGATTTTAGGCACACAGACTTCAGTAGTTGTGGCACACAGGACCAGTACTTGTGGTTCTTGGGCTCTAGAGCGCAGGCTCAGCAGTTGTGGCACACGGGCTTAGTTGCTCCGTGGCATGTGGGATCTTCCCGGATCAGGGCTTGAACCCGTGTCCCCTGCATTAGCAGGTGGATTCTTTAACCACTGCACCACCAGGGAAGCCCGGGAAGGAGTTTTTAATGATCTCACCTAGTGATTCATTGAACAGGGTGAAGATTCTTTCGATAATTCCAATAATCAAACTTTGAGCAGCTCTCCCTTTCCATTCCCGCTCAGACCCGCTCTCTCCCAGCCTCAGTTCCCAAACTCAAGTCTCTTTCTGTGCCTTGCTCTCCCTGACTAGGTCACTCATGCCCATGGCTTCAACATGAAGCGTGATCCCTAGATATGCAGCTCCAGCCCAGAGCTCTCTCCTGAGTCCCCAACTCATTTATCCTATTACTTCTGGACATTTCCACTTGGATGGGACACAAGCTCCCTACACCAAGAACACCCAAAACCAACTCATCAGGATCCTGTCTGTGCCTCCAAGTCTATACTAGGCCTGACAGGTGAATGTGTGCTGTGGAATCTAGAAAGCTTTTTGAAAAGTGACACATTTTAAAAATTAATACACAGCACTTGACCCTCTTGCATCCTTACCCCAGAAATGCCCCCTCTTCCTCTACTTCTCTCAGGAATGGTGCCACCATCCAACTAGACAACCCAATCGGAAACTCTGAGGTCATCTCCACTGCCTCCCCCCACCATCCTATTGGTCATTAAGTCCTGTTAATTCTGCCTATTAAATGAACTTAATTCACTCTCTCCTCTTTATCTTCTCCTGTACAATCTTCCCTTGGGCCCTTGTTTCTTTCCTGGATTGTTTCAACAGCTTAATTCTAAATGTTCACCTGGACCTCTGATGACTCAAACCACCACAATGCAAAAGAATGATCTTTCTGAACTGCAAACCCGAATATCTTCTATCCTTATTTGAGATCCTTTGGTATTCATTACCTAGGACTTTTATGTGAGCCAAACAAGGCCCATTTATGATCTGACCCCAACCACCTTCTTAACTTCATCTGTCACTCTGCCTTTTCCCACAAAACTTGAACTCCCTATATTTCTCCCATGCTGCTTCCCAGCCTCATGGGTTCACACATGCTGGTTCCTCTGCCTAGAATGTTCTATATTTGCTTTGCCTTTATGTACAATTGCCTAAGAGCATGGAGACTTATTGCTTTTCTTTTTTAATTTATCCATTTATTTATGTCTATCAAGTTCTCCCTCCCAAACTGGAAGCCCTTTCAGGATGGGGCTGTGTCTTACCCTGTATTCCTCATGTCTATAACTGTGCCTAACACATAAGAAATGCTCAAGAACTGTTTAATGCCTGCATGAATGGACAGAAGAGAGGCAAAAAATAAATGACTAGCTGACTTGTTCTAACTACTTAGGCATGATTTGGCATCACAGAAATCATATTCCTGAGATCTGCAGTGCCCGTAATGTGAAAGACTACGCTACTCTGTAATACTCACAAAACATATAATGCTAGATAAAATCTAAAAAGCTCTGTTGAAATGTATGCCTTGGGCTTCCCTGGTGGCACAGTGGTTAAGAATCCACCTGCCAATGCAGGGCACATGGGTTCAAGCCCTGGTCCGGGAAGATCCCACGTGCCACGGAGCAACTAAGCCCATGCGCCACAGCTACTGAGCCTGAGCTCTAGAGCCCGTGAGCCACAACTACTAAGCCCAGGCACCACAACTACTGAAGCCCGCACACCTAGAGCCCGTGCTCTGCGACAAGAAGCCACTGCAGTGAGAAGCCCGTGCACTGCAATGAAGAGTAACCCCCACTCGCCTCAACTAAAGAAAGCCTGCACGCAACAACAAAGACCCAACACAGCCCAAAAAAATGAATAAAATAAAAAAATTTTTTAAAATGTATGCCTGAAGTCGCACACAACAACAGAAATACCCATATTTCAGAAGCAAATAAAGAGCTAGAAGCTATTTTTAAAAGGAGTGGTTATTACTTAAACTGGTTTAAAAATAACACACCCTAAAGCATTAAGTGGAATACTTAAAAGATATTTATTTCCAGGCAATATTGCCACTAACTTTTTTTGCCTCCAGGATAAAGGTTAGTGAGCCACTGCTGACAGTCAGTGTGGTCCCTCCCTACTTCCCAGGAGAGGGCCTATGAGGCTGCTGGTATCTACAGGTGCCAACTCACTGCTCTCTGCCTTCTGGGTTTGTCCACAACCTACTGACAACACTGCTTAAACTGGGGACTTTCCACTGAGCCAGCTGGCAGGCACCGCCCCAACTTTGTTTCAGATTCCCTTTCTTACCGTCAATAGCTGGTACCCCACCCCTTTTCCCACTTCCTCATCCAAGCATTTTGGGTTCATGTTGTCCCCTTTTTCATCCTCATTTGATATAATGCCTTGTGTTGACCTTTTAAATTCTTTTCTTTTTTAAATAAATTTACTTATTTATTTTTGGCTGCGTTGGGTCTTTGTTGCTGCATACGAGAGCTCTTTTGTTGTGGCGAGCGGGGGCTACTCTTCATTGCGGTGCGCGGCTTCCTCATTGCAGTAGCTTCTCTTTTTGCGGAGCATGGGCTCTATGCGTATGAGCTTCAGTAGTTGTGGCTCGTGGGCTCCAGAGTGCAGGCTCAGTAGTTGTGATGCACAGGCTTAGCTGCTCACTGCATGTGGGATCTTCCCGGACGAGGGATTGAACCCAGGTCCCCTGCACTGGCAGGCGCATTCCAAACCACTGCGCCACCAGGGAAGTCCCCAGATACCTTTTTGAGTCAGTGTTTTTGTTTCCTTTTGATATATTCCTGGTAGTGGAATTGCTGGATCATATGGTAGGTCTATTTTTAATTTTTTTTTGAAGAACCTCCATACTGTTTTCCATGGTAGCCGCACCAATTTACAATTCCATCAGCAGCGCACAAGGGTTCCCTTTTCTCCACATCCATGCCAGCATTCATCTCGTCTTTTCTTTTTTAACATATATATTTATCTACTTATTTTATTATTTATTTTTGGCTGCGTCAGGTATCAGCTGCAGCATGCGGGATCTTCATTGCAGTGCGCAGGCTCTTCGTTGTGGGGTGTGGGCTTCTCTAGTTGTGGCGTGCAGGTTTTCTCTCTCTAGTTGTGGCTCTCAGGCTCCAGAGTGTGTGGGCTCCATAGTTTGCAGCATGCATGCACAGTAGTTGCGGCGCGCGGGCTCAGTTGCCCCACAGCATGAGGGATCTTAGTTCCCTGACCAGGGATCGAACCCACGTCCCCACATTGGAAGGCAGATTCTTAACCACTGGACCACCAGGGAAGTCCCTCATCTCTTGTCTTTTTGATGATGGCCATTGTAACACAGGTGAGGTGGTATGTCATGGTGGTTTTTCTTTTTAAAGAAGATGTTGCGGGTAGGAGTTTATTAATTAATTAATTTATTTTTGCTGTGTTGCGTCTTTGTTTCTGTGAGAGGGCTTTCTCTAGTTGTGGCAAGCAGGGGCCACTCTTCATTGCAGTGCGCAGGCCTCTCTCACTATGGCGGCCTCTCTTGTTGCGGAGCACAGGCTCCAGAGGCGGAGGCTCAGTAGTTGTTGCTCACGGGCCCAGTTGCTCCGCACCATGTGGGATCCTCCCAGACCAGGGCTCGAACCCGTGTCCCCTGCATTAGCAGGCAGATTCTCAACCACTGCACCAACAGGGAAGCCCCATGGTGGTTTTAATTTGCATTTTCCAAAAGACTTGTGATGTTGTCCATCTTTTCATGTACCTTCTGGCCTTTTGTATATATTATTCGGAGAAATGTCTACTCAGGTCCTTTGCCCATTTTTTAATTGGGTTATTTTTTTGTTTGTTTTTTGCTATTGAGTTGTATGTGTTCTTTATATACTTTAGATATTAACCCCTTATCAGATATATGGTGTACAAATATTTTTTTCCTGTTCTGTAGGTTGTCTTTTCGCTTTGTTGATGGTTTCTTTTGCTGTGCAGAGGTTTTTCAGTTTGATGTAGTCTCACCTGTTTATTTTTTATTTTGCTGCTTGTATTTTAGGTGTCATTAATTTCTACTTTATTTTTCCCTCTTGTCCATTTTTCTAGTTTTAATATTATGCTAAGACTGCCCTTTTATTGCCCAAGTTGTTTTCTTCATCTCCCTCTTCTCCTGTTAGTCACTCCCATTCCACAGCAAGAACTGTGGCCACAAGGGTGGTAGCATTCAAGAAAGGTCCCTCTTGCAGTTGTCCTTTCTGTTTCCTGCAAGCTCTCAACAAACAAAACAAACAAACAAAAAAACATAAAACAAACCTCATCCCCAGAGACTTGGGAGATCCACAGATTAACACTCCCCAGGGCCACAATTCTCTCTGCAGAGGTATACTTCAGGGTTTATCAATCTCAGCACTGTTGACATTTTGAACTGGATCATCCTTTGTTGGGAGGCTGTCCTGTGCACTGTAGAAGGCTTAGCAGCATCCCTGGCCTCTACCCACTAGATGCCACTGCCAACCACTCCCAGCCATAAGTCAAAAATGTGTCTAGACATTGTCAAAAGTCTCCTGGGAGGCATCCTCCCGCCTTGAGAAGCACCAATTTACATGAATAAGTATTATTTTCTGATATCTCTCACCATCTAGATTTTTTTTTAAGATAAAACACAAGTCAAATTTATTGTTAGATTTGTCCACAGTCAGCAGTGGTGATCTTCTTGCTGGTCTTGCCATTCCTGAACCCAAAGCACTCCACGGCTTCCACAATATTCATGCCCTCTTCCACCTTGCCAAAGGCAACATGCTTGCCATCCAACCACTCAGTCTTGGCAGTGCAGATGAAAAACTGGGAACCATTTGTGTTGGGGCCAGCATTTGCCATGGACAAGATGCCAGGACCCGTATGCTTCAGGAGGAAATTCTCATCATCAAATTTCTCCCCATAGATGGACTTGCCACCAGTGCCATTATGGCATGTGAAGTCACCACCCTGGCACATAAATCCCGGAATTATTCTGTGAAAGCAGGAACCTTTATAACCAAAGCCTTTCTCCCCAGTGCTCAGAGCATGAAAGTTTTCTGCTGTCTTTGAACTTTGTCTGAAAACAGCTCCAATTTGTTAACATAGCTTTATGGATTGGATGAGTAGTCACTTCTTGGTTTCCAGGCCCTTTACCTTGAAGGAGACACGGCCCAAGGGCTCACCATCGATGGCAATGTCAAAGAACACTGTAGGGGCTTCCCTGGTGGCGCACTGGTTGAGAGCCCGCCTGCCGATGCAGGGGACATGGGTTCGTGCCCCGGTCCGGGAAGATCCCACATGCCGCGGAGCAGCTGGGCCCATGAGCCATGGCCGCTGAGCCTGCGCGTCAGGAGCCTGTGCTCCACAACGGGAGAGGCCACAACAGTGAGAGGCCCGCGTACCGCAAAAAAAAAAAAAAAAAAAGAAAAAAAAGAAACGGTAGGGCCGACCATGGTTGGACAGCGTGGGAGGTTCTGGGGTTACGGCATCTGCAAATCAGCCACCATCTAGATTTTAAGATCTGTGGCCTTAAACCTAATACACTGTGATAGAAATCAGAATAGTCGATGCCTGGGAGGTGAATCTTGCATGGGGTAGACTTACTAAGAAGGGGACACAAGGGAACTTTCTGCAGTGACAGAAATGATCTATATCTTCATTGGGTGTGAGTTACAGAAGGTGTATACACTTGTCAAAACTCAAATTGTTGCCCGATCTGTACAACGTACAATCTGTGCATCTCACTGTATGTAAATTACATGTCAAAAAAAATCCACACACACCTAAACCATGTCAAGTTTATGCTAAAATATGGGTGGGAACTGCAGGTCAAGGGTCATTCTTAGGAAGGAGTCAGTCATACACCTGACCATGGTAAGGATCTAGGTGGTACTGACCTGTGCAATGGAAACTCACAGGAAGAGCCTGGGTAAAAGATCCACAGGCAGACAAGCCTGACACTGATGCACTACCCAGCATCTTGGGTGGTTCACTTTCTTTTTTGGCATCAAAGAGGGCTCCTCATAGTGACAGACTACCCCATCCTGCCTTGCCCAGATGTTATCACAAACGGGGATTCTCAATGCCGAGTCCCTACTGGGTGGCTATCATAATTTGTTACAGCTCATATTGATTATACAGGCTATCCCATTCAATATCAGAATTTAAGAAAGAAAGTCTGTTAAAATGGGTAGAGATCACCCCAGGAAAGTGTGAGGGCAATAAAGGGGGCAAAGAATCTTCTTCTTCAACCTTTTGTCTACCCAAGGAAGAAAAAGAATATGAATCTGGAAGTTAGATCTCCTGAAGAAAGATTTAACCAACTGGGTCATATCACTAAATCTCTAGCTTTATCACCTTTTCTCCCATGGGTACTCCTGTTGGGTTGCCTTGTGAGACATGAACACAAAGGCTTTCTCTCTCCATGACGGGTCCTGACCCATTATGGTACAACCAGAATGAAAATACCTCCTGGGAAGTGAGATCTCCCCTGGACCTCTTCTGATGAGGGGCTGGAACCTCTAGACTGTGTGTACCCATGGCCTGAGCACTCACTGTCCCAAGTGACAGTCCCTGAGAATCCTTGTTTGCCAGGCTCACTCTCCACCCAGGGCAGATGGCTTGGCTCAGAAGCTGAGTACACATGCACCTTCCAAGAGCTGATTAAACATTCTCTACTATGGATTAGATGAGTTTGGCTTGCTAGATCAAAGTCAAGCCCACTCTGTTAAGAGCTGTATGTTCAATAGTGCTAAGCTACAGCTACAGACTAACTAGATCCAAAGGCTGCATTGCTTTACATCCAGCCTATCCTCTGGAGTGTGCCCTTCAGTCACTAGATGCCCCTCCTGGAATTCAGCTAGGTGAGGGTCTCAAATTAAGGACACAACATAGCAACATATTGGCTTGTTTGAGGTTTTAAATATAACTGTAAGAGACCCACAGTCATAGGGGAAACAGGTGAGTTGGTGACCCTGAGCTTTGCAAATCTCAGAGGGAGTGTCACCGAGTTCCCTGGCTCATGTGGTTAAAACAC